CAGGCTGAAATACAATATATAGTGTTTGTAGCTGCCCCAGTAACCAACGCAAAATACTGATGTAACCTTCACTTTATTTATGACGAACAATATTGAGAAGATTGTAACACCGTCAAAACTGTGAAATACAATAGTATACGTTCAGAAAATAATAACATGAACTTGCGTATTCATACTGTAATAAGTACCAGTGCTGCTATGTATATAGATAGGCGATGATATACAGCATAGTGCGCCACCTAGTGGCAAGACTAGACGAATCTATTGTACATGTACACACAAAATATGGTAAAGTTGTACATGAATCTGAGCTCATACGAATAGATTACAAACTGTACATGGAATGTGACTTGCATAATCGTATAGAAAACGACTGAGAATTTTAGATGAGTGTAAACACAACTACATGGGTGTCAACTCAACTACAAGACTGACGGCGACTCGGCATGTAAACTACGCCAACGATAAATCAACTAAATCGATAAGACTGCCAAAATAAATCTAAACATAACAAATGTCTTCTCAAATAATTCCCTAGTACTCCTCAAACGTTACCTACCTCGTTGGCAGCATAAACGATACTTGGGCAGCGAAAAAGACGAAAACTAGATGCAGGAAACGAGCGTTTCACTTCCAGTGAAAGCGAAAAAATGGCGACTGCCCCCATCCTCGTACAGAGCGCGCACAACACCAAACACTGCCGTGAGATAAATAAACGAGTGGAAGCACTAAAGGAATCAGGAACAAGTCTAAACAACAAAACGAAAGGACCTATTAGTATAACCTGTAGTATAATTCGGAAGAAGACGTCTTTCACGTGTACATAGCACGCCGACAAATGAACGAGGCTAAACAAAGCGCGGGAACGCGGCAAAGTTTAGGTTGCTCGGGAAACTGCAGCCACAGTGTTTCCATGTTTCGTCTGATATCTCTGTGGTATTCTGCTGCTGTAAATAACGCACGATTTGTTCCGAAATTCAGTGTGTTGTGTGCATTCCAGGGTTATTTGTTTTTTGCTGAAAACACCCCTCTTTATAAATGGCAGAGTCAAATAGTTTCATTCTCATTGGTAAATCTGCACTGTTGCTTGAATGAGAGCTAATTAAACACATTTTCCAGGCCGGCTAAAGGGTATGCAACAGCCAATTTTAACAGCCTGTCACATGATTTTACTCTGAATGTCAACATGAAAATAGGCTAGTCCATTTTACGCAGGAGTAATTGGGAGTAGAATATGTGAGGGATAGTACCAACAGAGATGTGTATAATGAAAAGTTATTTCTACCCTTCTTTTGTATCGCTGACCATTTCTGTTTTAGTATACTGGTTTGAAAATGTTGAACTTGCATAATTTGCAATGTGTTTTTTACTGAAACTCCCCTATTGATAGTCCCGGGTTTGAAGGAGAACGGCACACCACGTAATTCGTTTGAATACAATGGTGAAGGCAAACATGCTGTGCTACTGCGGTACTCCACTGACAGCGGTCGTCGCTGAGCTGCGCTACAACTTCGCTTGCGATGTTGCTTGTTAGCCGTGGATTAAATTAATCTTGATTACCGGTTAAAATGTTGCTCATTTGGCGTTGGTGATCTTTATTTGGAACTGGGTAACGTCGCAACGTCACCAGCAGAAACCATCTGATACTTTGATGTTGATGGTCACGCCTCAATGGTAATCGCTAATTTTACTGCGTTGGGGGGGGGGGTCTTCCAAGAGCACTTCAGGGTTTATAAAACTCAGTCAACATACATCAAGTTTTCTCAATCGTAGTATTCCATGTGATGTACACCTAATATGCCAAAAATTTTGCTGAGCGATTTGAACTGGATAAAATTAACAGACAAAAATTTGTTTAAAAAATAAAAATAGTTTGGTTGCCAATGAAAACAAGCTGGTAGGCTGGTGGCGATCCGCTCCGCTCAAAAAACAAGCAATATGTTATCGGCTGTCGCCAATGTAGGACATGAACGTGAAGCTAACGTCGGTTTATAACTAAAACCGGGGCCCCGTATACGAAGTTCACAAAAAAAAAATGCAATCTTTAGAAGACACTTTATTTTATTGCTACAACGTTAAATTTATTATTTGCAACCATTTTGCGACAGTATTTTCTAGATTGGCGGCAGTATTTACATTTATTCAAAGTTCAAAGTTGCGTTGAGATTACTTTGATACAGTGTAACAACGTTCGCGCCGGTGATCTCTTTCCGGTGTGCAACGTAGCCAAAATAGAAGGCATAATCATTTGAACATTACAAGACTGGTAGGAGGTAATAAATTTTGGGCGAAAGTATTAAAAAAAACAGTTTTTGGCTGTTGCTATGGTAGCTGTGGGCCAAGATTGTTTTTCCAATTAGTGACGGTATGACCTGCCTGTCAAGTATGAACAAATTTAGCCAAGCCAAAGAAATCTCAGAGGAGTTAAAAACCGTTGCAGGTGAAAAATTACCCTAACGTTGGGGTCAATTTTTTCGGTAATGAAAATATACATAAAAAACAGTAAATTGTTGCCCACACTCAAGCTGAGTAGAATGAGCTACGTCCATGCTTTCTAATCATAGAAATGTAGGCTGTGATGATACATTTGGATTGAAGGTATTCAACAAATCAGTTTTTGGCTGTTGCCATGGAAACAGATTTTACAAATAGTAACTTTGTGCCCTCACTCAAGCTGAGCAGAATGAGCTATGTCTGAGGTGTTGTATCCTAAATTTGTAGCAGGAGATACATTTAGCGCAAAGCTAACTAAAAATCAGTTTTTTGACTGTTGCTATGACAACTATGGGCGAAATTATTTTCTGATTTTCCCTAATAACTAGGGTGAAGGTGTGACCTACATGCTAAGTTTGAGCGAAACCGGCTAAGCCAAACAAATTTATATGTGAAAACACTGGAAATCACACACAGACACACACAGTGTAAATTGCAAGTGCTTGTATACAAATAAAATTTACACTTTAAGGGCAATCGTAGTGGAGCGGATGGCCAATACATGTTCATTTGCATATTGACCGTGAAAATACCAAAAACATTATTGCATTGGTGATATGCAAATTAGTTTTAATCAAAATAAGTGATTGCCTAGAAGTTCCATTACTGTTGTTCAAATTTCATTTCACTCGGCAAGTATATTCATGTACCCAAGGGTAAAATAGTGTACTTCTAAATATTGTTTATTTCTGCTATGTTTCGAAAAACGTTACTCTTGAAAGGACTACTTTGTTTGCTCTTAGACCTCATTTGCATATAGGGTGTGGTAATACCGATTTTGATTTCAAGGACGAATCAAAATAAACTACAGTACATATGTAATAATGTGGAATACATTCTCAATATAAACATTTTTCCGCTAAAATAAATTCCAGTGAAAATTTCCCTCATACTCTATTGAGACTTGACACAGCACAGTGAAAATTGGATTCACACGTAATGCTTAAAAACATTTCATCGAAAATAAATTAAGTGTAATTCTATGTGACTTTATGAGAGTTGGAAATGAACAAATTATATGAAACCCAACCCTACCACTCCATACACAATGTAAACTACACACCCAAAACATCCTTTCACCAGTGTATTCTATTTGACTTCAGGAGAAATTGAAATAAACAAATTATATGACAACGAACCTAATTATAATTTCAGCCTCTAGTTCAGCACTGATTAAATAAACTACTTCGTCTTCATGCCAACTGGAAGTTATTCAATGCCTACATCAGTGACTTCAAAATCTATTTCAATCCCAGGAATTTCACTTGTTATGATTGCATGGGAGTGCCAGTCTTTTATTTTCTATTGTAATGTCAATTTCTTTCGATTACTCGGAACATGAAGCTGTAACCACAGACCGTCTAGGTAAAACCTGGTGTAAGCACCGGTTAGGCAGTCTTAAACTATGCATGTGAAGCCAGCTGAGAGGTATATCCAATCCTATAGATTTCTCATTGTTTGGTAACTATTTGCTGCAAATGCAACAAAAATCAATATAAAAATATTACCCACACAGCATTCTACAGGTTACTTATTATATTAGTATGAAATCTAGTAGCTTCGCGATGAGTGGTTAACAAATCAGTGGCTTTGGTGATGAGTTGTTTTATCAGTGAGTAGCTTTCATTGTCACTGGTCATAGGAATTGAGGATTAATGTTTTACGTGTCATGAACAATTGGTGTTAATGTATGAACACCGTCTTTAGAAACTGTTAATTTGTCTTTATGATTTGTGCTGTCGCTCTGGCAGGAGTTCCTAAATAACTGCTTAGTGACATATAACCATGTTCCATGTACTATTTTAACATGAGTATTTTATAATTAAATGACGGGGACTGTGATATTAATGTCTTGTTTTGTATTAATTTTAAACATAATTGTATGCGTCTATTGATGTATTATTCAGCATCAAAATAAACCTACATACTGCATGGCTCAAACTTTGATATTTTTGGCGAAACAAATTGTGTGCCATTGTGTGCAAACAATTTCGGTTTCATTGTTCTTGGATTTGAATATGTGAATTGATTTCTGATTTTGGATCACTGTTGTATGGTCAAAATGGTTCCAAGTTGTGCCTGAAGAACTGGGATAATAAAATTGGACTTTTGTTTATTTGCAGTCAAACAATTATGTGACCATGTTACATGGCTCATTGAATTATTACGCGATAGTTATATCAACCATTTTGCAAGAATGCGTCCTCTACCTTGGAACGAAAACTTGTCACTTGATCTCTGCGATATCTTCACAGAACTAGAAATCATAACGGTATGTAATGATAGAAGAATACACAAGAGAGGTACAGTAATGAATCCTTTGGACATATTCAACAAGCCAGAAGACTCAGTGTACAATTGTAGACGAATTAAAGTTGAGGGTCCTCCTGCAATTGGGAAATCAGTATTTTGTAGAAAGTTAGCTTATGATTGGGCTTGTGACAGACTAGATCAATTCAATTTTCTTTTTCTAATTGAATTCAGACAGGTTGTAGGCCACAATACAATCGAAGATATCATTTTCGAGCAACTTCTTCCAGACCAGCCGTGTATATCAAAAAATCAGTTGAGAGATGCCCTTACTCAACAGTCTAAGTCAACTTTGTATGTACTAGATGCTCTGGATGAAATGGGCCCGAAAATGAAATCTGCAAAAGATCACAGTATATGCAAATTGATTCACAAGAAGCTATTACCATGGTGTACAGTGGTTACGACAACACGACCACATGAATGTGACAGACAATTGAGTGAGTGTGATTCTCATTTCCGTATCAAAGGTTTTACCCTGAAACGAGTATGTGATTATATTATGAAATATTTTGTGGGACACAGTGATAAAGCCATCAAACTAATTAAGAAACTCTCAACGCAATTAAACCTACCAAACTATGTAGTTGACTATGTTTCAAATTGTTACACAACAAGTGACGATTATGAGAGTATACAGGATTGTTTGGATTTTGTTCATGACACACTGTGTAATCCCCTACATGTTTCATTCCTGTGTTTAATTTGGGAAGATCACCAGGATGGTGATCCATTTCCTGAGGACATCACCCAATTATATGGTGAAATACTCGATTGTGTTCTCAACAGAGCCTGTGCTAAGCAGGACCCAGAATTCATTGCCGGTGAATATCCACCTGAAGTAATTA